GGATCGCTCGGTGCACTATGCCTTATTTTGACAGGTTAGGACACCGACTATAACATTAAAGAGTTCACCATTAAGAACGGTGTTGGTGGTCCGTCTGCTTCACATCTCAACATAGAACAAAAGCAGTAGAATAACACATGAAGATGAAACCAGCTGTCAGAGGGTTTCATGTCAGACATATTCTTATATACCATAAAATATATGAAAGGTCAAAATCAATCATTTCCACTAGGTCCTGTAAATAAAAGTACTCTGCTATAATAAACCTTTATTCTAGTGTAACTGTTTCATTCTTTTCTCAATTGATTTTTTTCTTATACTGAGAATAAGAAAGACTATTAGATGAAACACATTGTTGATCTGATTAAGCAACGTTATTCTGAATAGTGGTCAACTTTGTTTTTTGCTAGTTCACCTGTAAACCAGGTGCTATGAGCAACTCTGAAAGTAGAGTGTTTTCCGGCGAGCTGACATCATGGACTAAACACTTCAATATCATGTTTTTCAAGCTTAAATGATTCAGTTTGTCTACGTCTGCTCTCTTGTATGAAATGTGCTTTAGTGACGATTGGACTCGTGATGCTAAATGTAAATATATTTAGTGTCATATCCTCTCCATCAGCACTTTGACTGCTGTGGAGTTACAACTGCTTGTTAAAAGCTTTAAAGCTCAATGCAAAAGATGTGAAAAACGATGTGTGTAGGTGGGAACACATTAAATGGAAAACAAATTAACGCTTACTGATGCTACTGCAGCAGTAATAAGGTGTTAGAGAAGAGCTTGTCAGCAGTGGTGACGAAATGCGTTCAAACGGCCCCTCTGGACATGACAAATAAAACGCAGGTGTCCAGAGGAAAAGATCCAGCAGTGGAAAGCACGACGGCGTACGTCAGGACCTTGACACGGGGAGGACAACCTTTCCCCTTTAGCTGTGCTGTTTATCTGCAGGGCAGGAATTCAGAGGATCAAGGGCACTGCAGAAACTAGAGGCCTTTGATTTAGTAGCTAACTTATATACAGTCAATCTGCTTCCTTCTTGCCCACTCCTGAATGTTCAACACCTCAGTGTTGAGTTTCCCACCATCCTCATATAGTCTCCGAGAGTAAACAGCGCATAGACGTAAATAGTAACTCCCTTGCTGTAGTTTAGCTCACTTCCTGTTCACTTGCCCCTGGGCGAGAAGGCACAATGACGAACACCACCCACATTAGCTCCCCTAGCTGGCAGTCAGGCTGACGAGCGGGGTGACACGGGGGTCATTTGTTTCTGTCACGAGCACAGAAATAGTGTCCCGACTCCTCCTGGGGTGGACAAAGCCGGCACGCATTCATTGGCCTGCAGCCTGGGCGGGATGCACTCTTGTTGTGATTACCTGCCTCTGCAGAGGAAGGGCTTTCTCTGAGGACCTATGGAAAAATGCTGCCGTCTGCCAAGCGCCATGATTAGCACCCCAGCCAGTTCCTGGGTCAGCTCAGAGGGCAAAAGTGTCTAGACCAGCCAGGG